GATTCTTAAAGAATCTTTCTTTTGCATATAATATGACTGCTTAACACGCACATACAAAAAAAACAACACGATCATATAAAAATTACGTCAATTAGCTCAATACTATGTTTTCTACTTCTACCTGACAATTACCCAACTTTAGCCAGGGTCTGCCTTACATATTGAGTAGTTATTGGCTAATTGTTTTTACGACCGGCCGCCTGCCTGACATGAACCCCCTTTGGGAATGCGTTTATCAGTGGTGTCCTAAATACTCTTAGAAAGTACACATGACTCGGAAAAATAACATTGGTACTTGCCAGGATCGAACCTGCACCCTCATGCATGAGAGACGGGTTTTTTAACTACTCGGCCACCACTGACTTTCACAACTCAATACTACATATGTTTTATGCCTTACATATTTGTATGCATAAGACCAGAAGTAAATTCAATACTGTACATAATTATTCAGGAATCTCCCCACAGATAATACAATTGTTATGGATTCCTATATATATAGAGAAATCAATCGTGATGTCCGTACATCAGTTCTAATATCACTTAAACACGCTACACCGCATTAAAAGGAGGCCATAGTATTGACCATAGAATAATCAAGCGTAGATAATATAGATAAAATAGTAAACTATAATTATGAATAACAAAATTAATATTTATCAATATAACGTTTGGTTTTATTATGTTTTAAAAAGCAAGTTATTGAACACGACTTGTCATTATTTTTTGACATCTGACATATGTAAGTCAATTTTTTTTCTCAATTCGTCCTTTCGGACAGGCTAAGATCTTACACCATGCTGCCTATTCATTAGTATTTTTTGGCTTTATTGATATAAAACATAAGTTTTGTTTTTTTTAATCCTTAGGAATAGATGAAGACTCGAAAGGTTTTGCACATGAATTATATATTCAATTAAAACATATATAAGATATAATACATACATACAAGTTCAGATTATATGATAGTTTTCTACAAGTTACTGTATAAGAGTGTTTATATTTGCTTATATGTCGTTAATATAATAACAATACTAAAACCTATTTACGTAAGGGATATTTTAACTTAAGGGTTATTTTAGTTTTGAACAAAATTTTAGTAATCCGAAAATTATTTTTATAATTATTTAAAAACTCTTTAATTAAGGGTAAAACGACTCTATTCACTATAAATAAAAGCATATTACAAGTATCTTCTCATCATTACTCTATGTTTGTAACATCACCCCCAGTTAGCCGGACATCCAATATCGATGCAAATATCTCGTCAGGTTTCATACATTATCAATTATCACCTATAATTTCGTATAAATAATTAAAAATTAATTATTATATTATATAAAGAACCTATCAGAACCGAGTGATGCAAATATTAATTATGAATATCAAAGCTAATTAAATTCTCAATAGCCTATGGTTATACTCAATGGGTTTTTTAATTTTTAGGCACGTGTCATGGGAATTTTATTTTTGTCTAGTCACTATCTGTCTGTGGGAAATATTGAGGTGAGTTTAGAAAAAGACTTGATTTTAATCTTTAAAGCTATTAAGGGGTGAGTTATTAAATTTGGGAACCATCAATTTAATTAGCCATCAATAAAGTAATATTTCATATATATTTTTCATTATTAAGATAATATCTTTAATACATTTTGCTTGATTTATAATGTGACTTAGAGGATCTTCAAAATAAAATTATTATTACTGTGTTAGGACATAATACTTTAGTTCTTATCATGTTTTAAAAGATCATAAAGTTTTCTAAGTTTTCGTTCACAGTATTCCTAAATCAATAATTTTCTTAGTTTATATGTTATTACTATTATACTTTAAGTTTATTATTTAAAGACACGACAGATAGACATAAAACAACCAAGTAATCAGTAAATCGTCAATAACATAGCTTGTATGGTAAGTTATTTGTTGAATCACCATATTATTTTGATGGTAATAATTTCCTCAAACGACTGGGTATTCTTACCCCCATCGGGAGTCCATCGAAGTGATCCTACCCTGATCATGTTCTAATGACCATATTTAAGAATTCATTCTGAACCAACGCTCACGATTTTCACTCGACACGTGACCAACACGCGCCGATTACGGAAGACATGTTGAAAACGAACCAAACATAACTTGAACTCTATCCACGTACAGACTCATAGAAATAACAGTTCAGATAGAATCGGTCGAATTAACGGTCATTATTTCGATCGTTTGAATTTTGAATTCAGTCAAACGTTATACAAATTTAAAAATGTAGATATATTCTTTATTTTAAACTTTATGTATAATAATAATAAGGTTATTGTGTACGAATTTGGTGGGTGTTATTTGATTCTTCGAATGAAACTGAGGATTGGTTTGCCACAAACAATAGAACAATTTGTTTTTGACTAAAGTATGATCACCGTAATTTCTCGTATTGTCAATGTTTAAGGCGTTCCCGGGGTTTTATGGGGTGTTGATGACAAAAGAATCCAGTGCAAATAAACAGGGGCCTTACCGAATTGTTAGTTAATTATTGCACAGGGCTTGTTTATTTCCTTTCACATAACCGGACAGTAGTGCGGATTAATCACAGATTCAAATCCTATTAATTTTCATTATCTGAATATATTAAGAGTGTTAAATTTATCGAATTCATGCGAACTTCTATTATATACCAAACTCATTGCTTACATTTAAATTAAGGAAAATGTTACGTCATGAAAGCATTGTAACTGTTTGAGCTATATAAAAATCATCTACTAGTTATAGAGATAGATCATCACTTCAAATTCAGTATAATTTATTACTCTATACATAAGACTATATACTAGTATATTCTGAAGTATTTAATAGAAGTCCTCAAAACTAAGGACATGTCATCAAATATCAATTCATCCAACATTAATTTCAGTCTGCAAAACCATAATCAGTGTAACAGCAACCAGACGTGATCAAAAAAAATAAAAAAAGCACGACAAGATGGGGACAGACCCAGCCAGAATACATTGAACCCTCAAAATAAACCAATCCCGTATCATCCGACATTAGTTACTTAGAAAACGGGAGGGGTCTGAGATCATGGTATAATGGAGTGATTAATGGTTCAGGAGCGAACGCGAAATTTAATCTTTCACACAAAAAGTATTGAATGGAAAGCGACAAAAAGAGTTGAGTGATAAATGGACGTTCAGGTCATCTTTGGCGCAATAGATCCTTCACTGCTTAATAAAATTAAATCAAACAAATTATAAAACTAAACGATTAATATTAATGCAATAATATCTTAAGTATTTTATTATTATTTCTTTGGAATATTAAATAATATTTGTTCATATAATGTAGGATATAAGTCTTTGTGCAGGAAATGATAAATGATTAAAATGTCAATACAGTCTAGCCTGGATTGAAGGCTTTTGAGCTGGAAACTAGATAAGAAGTTATAGGACATCTTTTTTACTTGGACAGCTAAATTACATGGCTAGTCATTTTTGGCACTTTTTTGATGATTACGGATCAATATACAGCTTAATTATTGTTGAAGCCTTATAACAGTCAATGGCCTATAGCTCATTTAAAGATGTTGCTAATATTATGGTAACATTAGTAAAAGTTAGCATAGTTTCAATATTTTTCTATAAACATATGAAAAATGCCCATTAAAATTTAACATTTTTGGTGAAAGATAGGCTAATGACGAATAAAATTAGATTTATGAGTGATTATAGATTATCAGAATTCTTTGTGGTATATAGCAAAAAATATAATTATCTCCCAAAAAAACTGTCAATAGAAAAACAATATTCGATTATATGACCGAATCAAAACCAGCGTTAAAGATTCCCAAAGGGTAGGTTACCCTCTCACAGCCAGACATCCATCACAAATAATACTATAATTACGAAACACGTGGCATTTGTTTGGAATAAATAATTATAGCTTGCATTACAGTTGGTTAAATAACCGTCTTAAACAGCTTTTATCATACCAGCTCGAATGCTTCAGCCAATTCTTTTCACAAAAATTGCGTAAAAAAATTCATTATAGAGAATAAAATAAAATTTTTGCTTGTAGAATTTGTGAAGATATATAAAATTTTCGCTATATTCATTTAAATGAAATTACTATTTTTCGGATATACTAGTGTTTAGTGCTTTATTTTAGAAAAAACTACATGTTAACGAAATTTTGGCTACTTTTCAGCAACCGTGATCACGGACAGACGAGATGTGAAAGAATTATAAGTATAAAAATAGTAGTACTGTTATTAATAATATAGATTCATAATAAAACCTCAACTTATTAGACACCCTGCCGAGAACAACATCAAAGCAATCTTCCAAACACGAAAATTAAGCTTCGCACTATAATCCATTTTAATAGCTCTTATTACAAACGCAATAAGGTTTTTATTAGCACATTCGTTTATTATGTGAGGTATTAAATTAATATCTGTCGGATTTGCGTTACTTATAAGCATTCGACGCCAAAAGTGTGGGACCTTTGTGGGATTATGATGCAATATTCTTCATTCATATACCATTAGAGGGTGAAAAGACAGAATATAATATGTACATGATATAGAGCCGTATAAGAAACTTACGTTATGTATTAATAATTATTCTGCAATATTTAAATGTTAGCAAATATCAAAGACAAATTCTCAATAATGAGATCCAAGACTTTCGCGTGTATTCATTTAAATGTAACTAATATTTTCGGATTACTACGCGTATTTAATTATTTATAAAAATTACATACTCCCGACGATTCAGTTACTTTGCAGCAACCGTGATTACGGTCAGACATGAATTCTCCTTGTAATCCGAAAATATTATATTCATTTAAAGAAAATAATATTGTATTTGTCCCCTAATAACAATTGATATAAGTTGAATATAATTGCCAAACGTTATTCTAAGTCAGTTAAAGCTAGAAAAAGATGTAACTTCTATAAAAAAAAAATCTTGTTAAAAAATAAATAATTTTAATAAACAAAACAGAATAAACGTTCAATTTTCAGAAACCAAATCTTCTTCTAGGAGGTCCCATAAGCCTCGATTTGCATACACAAAGCTGTGTGTGTCGCTATCTTCAAGGGGATGGTCTGTTATCATTTCAAGGTCATCATTGAGTATAGAGGTCATTGATAGCAGCGTCGAATCTGTGATATTAATGGTGTCTCCAGCATCACCTCTTTCAGGCTGATTCCGAGTTGTTCCAAGAGTCTAAAATAAGAAAAGAAGATCATTATTTGCTACTACATGCCACTTAAAGTGACTAATTATTCAGATATGTGAAAGAAAATTTGTCGAATAAAATCTTCATCACTTTCTATAACTGTTTTACTTGCCTCGTCTATGTACTAACAGGAATAAAAGACGGTATTAATGGTAATGTATACCACATTAATAGTACAATCTATGGTTCAATTAAGTTCTGATAAATTTTATAATGTATTATAATCCAATGCAAGCTATCTTCAATTCTACTGTTATATATTTTACAAGTGACAAAATTTTTAACCTGGATTTATATTGACTAAAAGAATAATAAAATCTTAATTAGCGTAACAGCTTTCGATGCTTAAATTTTCCATTTTTGATAACTCATGAACATGATAATTTTTTGAAATCAAGAAAATCATTAATTCGAATCCTAAAAGATCCTTCAAAGTATGACCATTGCTGGTCGATTTAGTTCTTTGAAATTACCCAGAACATTCTTTTGACGTTAATTTAACAATAAAGGTATTTGTCTTACATCAACTATAGCCATATGAAGTATTGGCACCTCAAGCTTCAAGGGTGTTATCTCCTGGGGCTCTTCATCCAAATAGGAGCAATCCTTAGGTACCTGTCAACATATCCTATAGTTAATTTTGTAAGCAAAATACCCTTTTTTCTCAATAATAAGACTTCTCAATCCCCGACCAACGAGGAAACATGGTTTTTACATTGTTATATTATGTTTATTATGTGATGATTGAATGTCTCTTTTTTAATGATGTATCTTTATTCATTTAAGTTATAAATACTAAATGAATAATATTCTCATCTAATTTAGTTTTAATTAATATTTCATTAATAACTTAAACATTTTAATCTGTTGATTTTATTATAGTGAATTAAATTTAATAAAAAGCGTTTACTTGTATATAATATCTGATTTCATAAACTAAAATAATTGGTTTTCTACAAAAGAAATATAATTAATTTTATTAATTCATAAAAAATGTCATTCACATTTACAAAAGAAAAATATAAAGCCTTTCCTAACATGTCAAAAACATTTTAAACTGTCAAAATAGTTGCTATTAACCAATTTTTCTCCTATTCATTTCAACCATTACAATAAAGTGACTTATATTTTCAAAATAACCGTAAATAATCACGCTAAAATAATGATAGCTCAAAAACTAACAGCTTTAAAAACGTTTCATTTCTTTAAACTGGACGTCAAAGTTATCATCTATATTTTGTAACATGAAGTATAAGATATATTTTTTACCCGTCTCAGTCTCCATTTTTCAAGGAACTCGTTCGTTTGTCGCAACGCCTCCCTACTCTCTTGCAGGAGCTCATCAATTCTGTCCTTGCCGCGAATTTGCTTGTATTTGTTTAAAAACTAGACGTTTTGAAATAAACGAGTGCTATTAATACATGTTGAAGACATTATAGAAGTTTTTAGACTTACTTAATACAATATATTACAATATTGTTTTTATCAAAACAAATATTTCATAAAAAAATAAAAAAATATTTGTAGATAACAAGCCAGAGTATTACTCGTGTAGAATTTTAGTTATATACTTTCTATGTCATATCCAATTCAAGTTAAATCTCATGATTACTAAAACATTGTTACTGAATTTAACTTATTCATAAATTCTTACCACTATGGTCGCACCTAGACACATGATTTCGACGCACAAAACCGGAAAATTACTAGAATTATGCTCTCCATCAAACTCCTTAACCTTTTTCGACTCTTCGTTTATAGAACTTTTAACTAAACAGAACATTTTACAACCAAACTTCTGTATTATATCTGTTAAACCATTTCCCAGAACGTAATCTATGGCAAAAAGACTGAGGAATGTAGCACTGTAAACAGCAAGGTTGCAGAGTTTAGTCAGCATTGCGACCAGAAAATTTAATCATTTGGCCTCAAATTTTTTGTTTTATCACATAATTAACGCAAAATTTAAGATATATATAAAAATATTGTGACAGATCGTTGACATTTACAATCAAACTTTTTTTATGATCTACCGTATATATGTGAATATATTTATTATTGTTTGTTTTTTTTTAGAATTCGTTTTATTAAGTTTTATCTTCAAAAAATGATTATATTAATTAGCTTTTATATTTCTATATTTATAGTAGGTACCTATATATATCAATTTTCAGTTATCTGAACCGTTGTTAGTCAACAACTTTGGTTTCCATGGCAACTGTACAAGTATTACCCTTGACAACTCAATATATTGATGCGGCAATTTGTATCAATATATTTTACATATACCTTCATATTAAATTTATTGTGATACCAATTATACGAACATCACTACAAAATGGTAAGTATTCTAGTCTCCAACTTATATTGTATTCAGTATTGCTATATAATTCTTAATTGCACATAAATAAAAGCAAGAATTTCAGTTTATATATCCTATTTCAGCCGCCGAAAGGAGGAAAAGGCGGTGGAAAGAAAGCACCAGGTATGAAGAATTTATTTTGTTTAACTCTTTTGATGTCAAGTTAAATCTCAATGAAATAATGGTTATTATTACGTTCTTAACAGCAATCGTGATCGATGGAGTTGATACTTCAGAAATGACTAGAGAAAAACTAGAACAATTTACACTGAGAGTTAAAGAAGAATTAGACAAAGAGAGAGAGGAGAGGAATTACTTTCAATTAGAGAGAGACAAAATAAGAACTTTCTGGGAGATAACTCGCCAACAACTTGAAGAAGCTAAAGCAGAATTAAGAAACAGAGAGAGAGCCACTGAAGAAGCCCAAGAAGAGAATGAAGCGCTTCTGGAAACAGAAAAACAAAAAATAAAACATCTAAAATACGAGCAGCAGGCTGCTGCAGCTGCCTTGAGAGCAGAAAATCTGGTTGCTCTGAAAGCAGCCAAAGAAGAACACACTGAACAAGAACTAGAGTTACTCAACGACAAAAGGTCACTACGACAAGAGATGAGAGAAAAAATGCTAGCTGCTCAAGATGAATTACGAAGAGCGAAACTCGTCCACGCCGAAGAACTCTCGAAAGTAAGAGCAGAATTTGAAGAAAGAGCTCGACAAATAGAAGACAAGGCTGGCAAGAAACTACATGAAACAAAAGTTGAACTGACCGTGAAACACAGAACCGAAGTGGCTGAAGTTGAGGAGAGGAAGAATAAACAATTATCAGAACTAATAGCACATCACGAGAGAGCGTTCTCTGATTTAAAGAACTATTACAACGACATCACATTGAATAACTTAGGTGAGTTACATTAAAGTAAGTCTAGGAGATTTTATTTATCTATTAAATTTTAATATGCTTTTTTGTTAGGTCTGATAAGTAGCTTAAAGGCGCAAATGGAGGAAATGCAAAAAGTCAAAGAGCGTGCCGAAAAAATTGCGAGAGACGCTGTCGCTGAAACGAAGACCCTTCGCGAGCCGCTTGAAGCTGCGATAATAGATAATAAGGAACTAAAACGACAAATGTCCAACTATGATCGAGATAAAGCTGCTTTAGCTGTAAGACATATGTTATAATACTAATTTATTACTTAAATCCACCTTAATATAAAATTTTTTGAAGTATTATCACCTTAAAGAAGTGCAGAGTGCATAACTTAAGGCTTTTTTTGTTTATAGGCTAAAACAAAACAACTAGCATCACTTGAACAACAGTTTGAAGTTCTGAAATGGGAGTACGAGGTCCTGCAAGTCAGATTCGATCGAATAATTGCAGAAAGGGATGAACTTAAGTCAAGGTAATCAAAAATATTTATATTTACATTTTCAGATTTCCTGATAGGCGAGTATAAGAAATAAATAACAGTATTTATTTCTGCCGTTTTGTAAGCGATAAAATCTTTTATTCCAACAAAATGATCTGCTTTCAGAGTAATCTACAACATTGAAATATTTTAAGACAATATGTAAATAAAATATAAAAGAATTCTCGAAAATAATAATCGTACATACAATATTTTAAATCCATATATATTAATTACACTTTGTATATATATTAATATGTTTTTGAATTTAGAAGCTCATGTCTTATGAGAATAGGTGTAACTTATCTCACAAAAGATGTCTTTTCAGAAAGGGAATTTAATATATATGAATGTATACATTAATAACATTACTTATCCCGTTTAGATTTACAAAGGCTGTGCTAGAAGTTCAGCAAAGGGCTGCATTAAAAACAGCCCTTTTGGAAGCTAAACTGAAAAATATGGAAGGAAGGGACTTGGGTCCACGAGAAATGCATGTGAGTTTAATGAGATCTAAGATTTTCGCGAGTTTTATTCATTTAAATAAATCTAATATTTTTCGGATTCACTACTTGACTTTATTTTTGATAAAAACTACTTACTCCCGACGTTTCGGCTACTTTACAGCAACCGTGATCACAGAGAGACGAGATGTGATTGGTATTCACATCAGTAGTATATCCGAAAAATATTATATTCATTTAAATACATGTGAGTTATGTATTTCTTTGTATTTTACATTATATATTTTTCGCTAATTCTATCTTTTATACTCAATTCAAACCATATTCCTCAGGATTTATTGAAACTGAAAGACACGCAAGTTGAAGATTTGCGTTATGAAGCAGCAAGGCTACGAAAAGCCCATGACGACCTTCTAGCCACATATGAGGCGAAACTAGCTAAATTGGGTGTCCCTGCCGAAGAACTTGGATTTAAGTACGTATTTGTAATAGCGCCATCTTTGCGCATAAGTATGAACTTCGTGGAAGTGACTCCAATTGTAGCGCCATCTATAGCAATTGCATTTAATTTTTTTATATGGTTTTTCGTTAATTCATTTAAATTTCGTGAAATTTTAATAAAATAAACGTATCAAGACGATTTTAAAATATATGTTCAAGTTGTTGTTTTCGTTTAGAAAATATAGAAAATATTTAAGTACGTGAAGCTTTTGGTTTATGTTAAGTTTCCAATATAGAAGATAGATGGCGCTGATTTTAAAACCAAATGCATACGTTTTTATTACTAATTTCTTTAATATTTTTTATTTCAGACCTCTTAAGGCTGTAGCGGTAGCTGGTCTTTCACCTGTTCTTGGACAAGGTCCAGCTGGTCTCGTCGTCAAAGAACTTATATAAACAGCCTTGAAAACTATTTATTTTTATAAAATATAAAATACAACGATTTATATTCGGTTACGTTTTTATTAAAAATATTGATTATTTCACAAATATATTTTAAGAAGTTTTTGTATAAACTAAATAAATTATTGGATCTTTTTTATAAAGAGTTATAATTATTTTGTTCTCTATGTTATTAACGTGGTCATTGAATTAAGCCAAATTAGGTAAATGGTGTTTCCTTATAAACTACAATTGCTTGTCACCAGTTTAATTTGAGCTTCCCTTTTAATTTGACTCGTTTTTTGCTATATTTACATTTGTTCGTTCGTTCTAATAATGTATTCAACTAGAACGTAATAAGTATAAATATTTGTATTAAATAAATACAGTTTTCAATTAATTTATGTAAAATTTATGTAAAAATTCAATTTAGTTTTGTTGCGTCATAAATAGTGGTTATACCGTTTGCTTGTTAGTTGTTGTATTGATTGGAGACGATACTATTATAACTTCCACGAGTTATAGCTTCGTTTTACTTTAAGTTTTAACCAAATATTATTTTAGTTTTCAGTATACACTTATGAAACTTGCAATTGCATTTAATATACCCAGTCATTAAACCTGTTGGTAAAATTATTGTAGGTATTTTTTTAATATTACGTTTTAAAATATTACTTTTATGATAATAGTAGAAGTGTGGATTTATAAACATTTAAACCATATGGAATATTTTCTTTTTCTTTCAAATACAGATCAGTTATCTAAATAATTCAAATATATATATATATATATATATATATATATATATATATATATATATATATATATATATATATATATATATATATATATATATATATATATATATATATAATTCTGTAGTACTGAGTTATAGTACTCACAGTCAACATTAAGTAATTAATAAGACCCATATTATAATTTAAACTACTACAATTGGATGTACAAAAATAAAACGACTGTTTGAAGCCAATAAATGTAATATTCTCTACTAATCTTCATTTATATTTTATATACAAAACGGTTATAAGGCATCAGTACGAAATGAATGGTAATGCTTTATATGAAGAATAACGCGTAGCCTCACAAAAGTATTGCTTTACACACGTACTAGGATGACATGAGTTCAAAGTAAATATATATAGATTAGATTATCTCGCAACTTATAAATAAAGTGTTTCACATCTCAAAGTTCAACGATGCGTGAATAGCATGTTATATACTATGCACTTCATAATATACAAATAAAATATAAAATACATATAAAAAAACATTTTTTATGACATTTAAAAAATATTTTATTAACCTATGCATACATTAATTAAAATTATATTTCTATTATGACATATTTTTTTATTTGCTGTTCTCAAGCCATGGCAACAACAAATATTATGTTAAACGAGACTTTTGTGCCCTCTACCGTAATAATATTTAATATTATCTGCCAAATTGGTGTTTTCAACACTAGGCACAAGCTGAGAAAATTATAACTAATACATTATACGGCGATATTATTGAACAGAAAGAAATAATATTATTTAAATCTGAAATATCACAACAAATTTTCAATTGATTTGTTTTTCGGAAAGGGTTTTTGAAACTGATATTACATATGTATCAGTGAGTGCTGATTTTAGAAATTTCTTTTGTGTAGTGCTAATTAATTATTCGTGGACAGGATTTTAGATCAGAAAAAGTTACCACATTTTTGGCAGTGTCGTGTGTATTGCATGTGTTTAAGATCATGACCCAAACAATTACAGCACAGCGAGGATACAAGACTTGTGATGGCTTCAACAATACGATCAAAATACATATTCCTTAAAGTTATTAGACATTTGTTTGCAATACCAATTACAGATGAAACTTCACAATAAATTTCCATCAATCAATGTTTAAACTTAAACATCTATCACAACAATTATAATAGCAGTCGTCACAGTTAAGCAAATATAATTTAAATAAAAATATACATATATCATTATAAATATTTACATTTATTGTTTTAATAAATAATATAATTTATGTGATAAAATTTTATTTATCAATTTTTTTTTTAATGGGAATAAAGCAACATTATTAGCGTTTAAATAATTAATGTATTGTTAAATAAATGTCACAACCGAAATTATATATTAAAATAAATACTAAATTAATTTGACTTAAATTTCAGGGTGATATTGACGAATTGCTTATCGATCACTTAATCTATAAAATTATATTGATTTAGAGAAATTAAGTAAATATAAAAATTAAAGAAATATCTTTACTTAAGAGGCACTTCTTTAAAGAAATAACTGTTTTAGCCGAAGTGAGAATAAACTTCATTGAAATTAATATATCTACATATTGTAATAATCAGATGAGAATTGACGAATTTAAATTTCAATTAACTTTGCATATGTACTTTCTGAATAACTTTGTGCCGTCGTCACAAATCTTTAATATAATATGACAATTTCTTATTAATATATTATTTTATTTTTTTTATTATATTATCTACGTAAATGTGCGTGGGTACTTTGCAATATCTAACTAATCTTCATATAATTTTCCACAGTCTAAGCGAATTTTTTAGATTATTTTTTTTTTGATCACTTAAAAATAACCTTATAATTAATTATAACTATCAATATTATGAAACATACATTTCATATTAAAATAAAACTTAGAATTTTTTTCTCACAATAAGATAACATTGAAATATTACATTGATTATTAAAAAATCTTATAAATTAATATACACCAAGAATTCAATAAATATTTAGAAAACAACAAGACTTGTAGAAAATAAACGAATTCAAAGCATATCAGCGAAGCTTAGATGTGAATTAATAAAATTATATTTCGCACCGCCATTAATTCTAACGTATGCAATATTCACAAGCCTTTTTCATTATGTACATTTTAATATTTTTTTTTTAATACGCATTTATTTTTATCTGAAGCGTTCAATTACAACCTTTAAAGCGTCTTTAAGCATTCGAATTCTCTTTCTAAATCATAATTTTATATAATGTATCAAGCCGGAACAGTTGTTATATATTTCAAGTTATTTTTCGAGTTTGTTACGATTAGTCTAACTTATTTAGTATCTATGACCCTTGTTTCTAATTAATTTCTGAATCTTGAAAGTAGAAATACATTATTTCCGTTCATGTTATTGTTATTTTTGTTATTTTTATAATGAAATCCGTTAATATCTGTTCAGGGTGTTCTATATTAAGGTATGTCTGGACATATTATGTATTGTATCGATGAATATTTTAAACGTATAAGCATGGGACGGAAGAATCGATACTGTACGTACGGGACGATAATTGATTGAATACAACATCAATGTATTGATAGAACACGCTGTATACATCATATCATAATACATTTGACTTATATCGTGTATCGAGAGAACACTCTGTATATATATTATTATACCAGAGGAATATCATATAGTTTGTGGACAAAATTAATGTTTGGGTAATTCATATTATATACAGGATGTTTAACCCAAGTTTGAATCGTCACACTACATACGTAGCGTTAATAGTTAACGTCATCATTAAATTATTGGATTAGAAACGGGAAACGCTGCGTAAATAGTATGAGGAGAAAAACTTGTGCTAAGCATACTGACACAATTTTTTATAGAACATTCATATTTAATTATAATCGTTTACAAATAGTTTAGTATCAAACTATTTCAAGTTTTTACAATAATTTCCCATTAATAGGAAATATTTTTTCTTTATATTGATATATTATCACATACATTTATCATTTGTGTTTATATAAATAATAATATATCTTTCTAATATGATATATAATTAAAAAACTGAATTTTAAAACGCCATTTCTATATTAAAGAAACGAAAAGTATCATTTTCTTTACCTAATTTCGAAACCATGGTTTACATATTTATTTATTTAAATAATTATTACCAGGACGCGTGCATACCTCACCAGCATATAAGAGGCGTCTTATATACTACGATGTTTCTTTTAATATCTATCAAATAAGATTTTCGTGACAACACGTGTCGAATGTTAAAAGAAATACAAAATTTCTTGAGCAAAACTCTGCATTCGGGATAAAAAACACTTTTTTTTTAACATTATAACATTTTGCAAAACTGATTCCACCAAATTCACAATCATTTACAACAGTGGACGAATTTCTTTTAGAATTTCAAAAGGTAACAATTGTCATCACTAAGCTTATAAATAGTTTTTTGTTACAAACAATATTTCACGTGTAAATTTATACAATCAGCAAAATTCAAAAGGGAATTTAAATATCGTATAGAAAGAGATTTAAACAAGCTGGCTCCGTTAATAAGCTACATCCAAAATCAACACTCAACATTTAATATAATATGTTGTCACGAAAAACCCCCTTCATTCCCAACGCATTATAAAATATTATTTTAACAATACACTGCTATCGATTAGACACGACCGATTTCCAAAGCGGCAAGCTTAAGCCACAAATTGAGTAATAATGACCACAGTCCTTTAAAAAGTGCCCGCTTATAATTTAAAGTTAGCACGAATTGTTCATATCATTTCATGGTACACCTTGTAACCAATCCCTCTTCATGACTCCTGTCATCTGGAAACACAAATAAATCTATATCAAAAATATATTACTTTAATATTATGGTGAAAAATAGCTGGATATAAATGAAATAAAATAATACGAATGAATTAAAGCATGCTAATCGAATTGGTTACTCTGTAAAGCTGTGCATGTGTCTAGGGGAGTATTGTGCTATTTCTGTGAGCAATGTTTATTTTTCATTTGAAGCCCCACACGTACCTGTGTGAATTTCATTAGGCGTTGACGAAAGATGACTTGGTCCTGTCAATTGGAAAATCTTTAAAATATACGAAATTACTAAACTGCTGGATAGCAGTTTTAAAGTTTAAGTTATGTGGGGTCTTAAATTTTTTGTATGATATAGTTATTGTAAATTTAAAATGCTTTATAGTTGCTTTGTTTCTTTATTAACATTCCTGTTCTTTAATGTCTATTCTTTTGGTTTTGCAACCAAATTAAGTAATATATTTTAGTACTATTACGAAATGTATTGATATATCTATGTCATTATGGAAATTTCCTTCCCTTTTCTACCTAATTTCTACACCTCCTATATGATCAAAACAAATCTAGAAGAGAACTTAAAGCTCACATGCATAGTAAGTAATAAGTTTAACCACTGTTTAAATAACCAATCTATAGATTTCTTCTGATAACAATATACCGATAATCATATTAGTCTTCAACCCAATACAAGTCTATTGTACCGCTAACACATCATGTCAAATCTAATTTTATGATCTAATAACATTATACTTCACTAATATCAAAACATGGATAACTAATACATTATCATAAATGGAAAATCTCACCCAGACAGCGAAGCAGAATTTGAAATTGGAGGGCTGTTTGATTCGAAGCCTTCTTTTGGCTTCTCATTAGCCAATTGCATCTTCAACTGGTGACCGAAACACGCCAAGTCTTCCCTGAAGGTATCTGAACCCGGTGTTGTTGGTTTACCATCATCTCCGGTAGCCATAGCTTCAGCATCGCTCTGTAACGGTGCTTGCTCAGATTCCTCCTCAGTATTATAAATTTTAAAATACGCGAACGTCAAGTATATCACAGAAATTATGAATGATGGTATCGGTATGGCCATAGCATATACCAAATTCAATGTATTCTGCCACATGTCTAGCTCCGTGATAACTAGTCCGGGATCTACTCTGCTGTAATAACATGAGTAATTGGTACCAAGTGGCTTGTATTTGCCGTAGAATATTGTGCAGTTGAGAATAGGAGGGTAGCCGCAGCCCTTGACGTTGGGGAACAATCTGGCACCAGTGAAGTACCATTCTGAATCGTTCCCCATCAACCCTGTTGGTATCGGCTCAGGAAGTTCCTCCATATCTGGATAGTTATTTTCTAATGGAGATCCGTAGTTCTCGTAATCGTAGTCCTTCCTCAACGATCTCTCCACCCGAATGAGGTTCTCGTATTCCGTAGCGGTTATATTTGGAGCGTATCCCAATTTATAGTTGACCCTTATCTGAGTGCATTCGTACAAGTCTTTCGTGCACCCTTCCCTACAGGAAGCCCAGGTGCAGTTGCTTACTCCGACTAAATGTTTCACTTGGGCAGTGACACATAGCGCGGCGACCGGATCGAATTGCATAAATATAGTGGTGAAGGCCGGTTCGATGACGAATGGAACTAAGAAGAGAAAAGCAAAGAGGCTGAAGATTGCAAGAAGGACGAACGTCGCTGTTGTGTAGAAAAGGACTTTCTCGAGAAAAGTGGGGGGTATAGGCAGTTTCTCCTCGTCGGCCATTTTGGCGAGAGTGCACTATTAGCGGTCATAGCGCTAGTTTCAACTTGGCCGGCTCATTTCAATCGGTGACTTTTCTTATTCACTGTATCCGATACAAAGTTTATTTATTTATAGTTTCCTTTGTGGTTGTGATTTATTTACATTTTTATCTCATAAGGCTGATTCACTGAACCGCTGTATCATGAATAAATATAATCAATGGAAGTTAGATTAAGATATATTATGCTTCTTAATTTAAGCCGAGATTATCTTTATATACCGTTTAATATAAGAGAGTTGCTACTTAATGCAATTATCTCGTCAAGACTGGAAGACGCTATAAATTAACACTAGGCAACCTCCACATAAATCCGGAGTAAATTATAATATGATCAGTTGACTTATGATTGCTTATTTAAGTCATTTTATGACTATTTTTATTATGATTGCTTAATTCAATAATAAAGCAATATCGTATAAGTGGCTTAGTATAAAAATAGATTTGTTACAATAAAGATTGATCGTCTAATCAATTAAAGTATATATAATAATGTTTTTTATATGTAAAATATCTTTCATTGAATATATTATAATTTATAAGTAGGTAAATGTTGGAAGCATAACGAAATATCTGAAATGACGCCAGTCTGTCTAGCCTAGGAATTCTGACGACCTATTGATTGTCTAAGTTCTAGATTTAGCCAAATTCGCTACGGAACCGGAACTATTTTGTCGCAACTGGATGATTTGCTAACCGACACAAGACTAATGGATATATATAATGGATATATCCATTACTATTATACTAGTTACATTTCTATATATTTCTTATATACATATACGTATATGTATATATATATATATGTACATAAAAAAAATTACAGATTTGTTAATGAATACAAAAATAACATTTATATGTTTTGTTAATCTGTACTACAGAATTATAATTTCTTTTTTCCAAAACCAATGAAATTTTTTAAATTATTAAAGTCAATTGAAACTCTTATGAAGTTTTTTATTTACTATATGAGACCATGTAGATTGTGTACTTTTACTTTAATGAGAACCTTGAAAACGAACTACAATCACTTTAAAAATAAGTTACTTTAAATAAATAAAACCTTTTACGAGGGACTTTTGACATTTATAAACTATTTAAATTGAATGTTCTGTTTATCAAATATAATGAAAACAGTTAATATATCTATTATGTACTTATGTACGAAACATATATATATATATATATATATATATATATATATATATATATATATATATTTATACATATGTGCATATGTTAAATTCATCACCATTTTACTCTATATACACTTTTGTTTTGAGTGTGAATGTTTATTTGTAATTAGTTCTAACGAAAATAATCGAATTAAATCTTAAGCCAATCCAATAATTAAGCCTAATTGTGTTAAAACTTATAACAATTGCTCGTATAAATATCAATATTGTAGAAAATTAAAAGGATACCTATATAATCCGTATAAAAATGGTCAAAATTATAACCATATATCAATAATTATGTAATAATATTGAAAAGTAGAAAGAAAAGAAATGTATTCATCTTTGTTTTCAAAACAAATAAACTTAATAATAAAACTAAAACGTTAAATGTTTACGAATATTGTTTTTGATATAAAACAATATTTTTATTACATAAGGTAAATTATATATGTATAAGTTGAGTTTTGTAACAAAACCACAAGGTACTAAGATTACCTTCTATAATAAACATTGATTCCAAATGTGCCCAATAGATGGTGCTAATAATAGAAATAAATTATTAAATAGTTTTTTATATGGACTTTATTTGTACTTATAAAGTATCGAAAGAGTTGAAATTAATTTATATAATTTACTACATATTGTAATAGCCATTAGTTGATGATAATTCAAGGTGTTACAAAGATAGGAATCATGTATTTAATTATTATTTTTTAATAAAAAAAGTCCTATTAATTTTGTGACCATAACAATTCGTTACCAATGACTCATATAGGTAACGATCGAAGAATAACTACACTAGAACTTAACTAAAAACATTACATAACACAAGCCCGTCTAGAAAACTATTGACGTCACTAAAAAAATTACATCCTTGTACGATGAATTATGAATGAGAATATAAAATGGAATATAAAAAAATATATAATTCTCTATGGAACAGCATATTGTTTGAAAAGGAGGTTTCACGCGACTACATGACAATATCTGTTCACGCAATTCGACATAATGCAGTCATGCCTACACATTCTACGTTGAAATCTATTGTTTTAAATATATATACAAGGTATTTGACGTGTTGTTTTACATAGTGTTGTAGCTCGAACAATAAACCAGCCTGATGGAGCTTACGTGCCGCACAGTTTAATATGTACAATAATATAATTATTTAATACACATCAATTAAACTAGAACATTTTGTTAGGATATATAATTGTTATATTTTTGTTTCGCACGTCCTTTTTATATGCAGACGTCAACGCGTTACCGCGGCTCACTCACAACTGGGCGCAGGCCGTGTGGCCATCGTGCTGGCACTTAAAACCTTTATGGACAATTATAACAACAACAATAAAACACTATTTTCAAATTTCGAATATCACTTCGAAGAGATTAATCGATTATTTTTTTTTCAATTATACAATGTAATAAATATAGTATTCGAAATTCAAAATCGATAAAATAGAATAAAATTTAAATAAATAAAAAAAATATTGTAATTTTTTTTTTCTTGAAATTTTGAGCTTTATTTTATTTATTGTATTTTATAATATTCCACGAAAACATTCCATATTTGAATGCGCGCGTCGCTCGGTCGGGTCGATACAGCCTTGTGGTGTCCGTCGTTGTATGGCGACAGACAGTCTTTCTTGCCTCAGTTTAATACTATAAACCAATTCCTTTATTACTAACTTTATTTAAATACTCAATAATAATTATAAATCTAATTAATTATAAAAGAAAACATAGGATTTTAAACCTTGATTAGCCCTGACCAAACGTCCAATTTTATTTGGTCACTTACATTTGTTTTGTTGACAGCTAGCGCTCTTATGGAAACCCTTGTTATTTTGATTCGACCGTGAATCCCATAGTTTAACTACAAAGATATTACATAATAAAAAAAGTTTTTTTTTTAATCTGGTGCCAAAAATATAGGGTATAGTCTATAGTTGGCTACATTCCAATGAAGAGCATGCAAACAGAAATCATAGGTATTAAAATTTTACCCATTTATTTCTATAGATAGGTATAAATTGTGACAACCTTGAAAACTGTAGCCAAAAAATAAATTGATATTTGAACGAAATCGTAGACAAATCGTATTAGCATAAACCTTTTGGCGATTTGTTGGATTATAATAAAAATGAAAATATGTAGTTGTAAGAGAGAAATAATTATGGACTAATAAAAAAAAAATCAATATTTGTAAATCATAATTAATTTGTTTATTTCAAATTTACCAGAAATATATATGGTATACAAAAAGTTTCTATAAAACAGAAATAACATAGTCGGCTAAATGTACCAAATACCCATCATTATAAACTATTTAGCTAAAATTTTTTAATATTAATTTTAATTTTATTGTCATCCTATTTAAAGAAATAGTGTATTTATTAACATATAAATATGTTTATGTAAATATAATCGTCTAACTAGTTAACAGAAAATGCTGTTTTATCAATGAAAAATAACTTTTGAGTTCTCTTACTAGATATTATTGTAATTTCTGTGTACGTGTTTGTTGAACTCTGGTGAGGTTGGGTGAATTGGCTGAAGTAATATGTGAAGATTTTTTGTATCTACACGTTTTGGTAGCTGAGGAAAAACCATCAAAATTATGTTATAGGCATATAGTTGGAATGGAGTCATATATAAGAATGAAGTATTAATTAAATAACTATACTTTGGATATAGATATAGTTTATATGTTTTACATTTGTATCCTACTAAGTATAATATTATAAATACGAAAGTTTGTTAACATGTGTTGTTTGTTGATGTGTGAAAGTTTCTTGTTTTGTCATGCAGCACAGATTTTGATGAAACTTTCAAATTTCCTAGCTTGTACATAAGAAAAACTAGTAATTTATTTAACCGAATAGATTACAAATTGTATTTGATTTATCACATGAAACATACTACATATGACGCTGACATTTGTTATAAATTTAATTCAAGTATGCATTATTAATTTATTAATAAAGTTCGGAAATTGCTCAATATATGTATTATATAGATTATAGATAAATCGAAATTCTAATTAAAGTAGTTCGTTGAAAATGTTTTGTGATATAAAAAAATGTCATTAACGCAATTAAACTGAAACAATTCAGTAATTATCGTTATCTATATAAATGTGAAAGGTTTTGTGTAGTTTGTAAAGAAGACTATTTTATTGAACTAAACTATTATTTTGTAGTATAATATTTAATCTACATATTTAATTATATTGTTACCTACTAATTTTCGGGTCAAATTCCGTGAAGAGTTTAAAATGACTCTTAAGTTTCACTAACTTGGAACTTAGAAAATTATTTAACTTAAAGGTTTAACTTAAAGGGATCCCTTTGAGAGTTGACCTATATATTGCTTTGAAGTAATCACATAACCTTTTTTAAGTCGAATAAAACAATTTAATTTCATTAATATTCTCCTTTTTAATTTAATAAATACATCAGATTATTACTTAATCTTGAATTTTCACCCGAAATGGGGCACATGAAATATTTTTTATAAAACAAAGTCGTACTTTGTTTTAGTAACAAAGCAATTGTTAATTATAATATTCGCCTTTGTTGGATGCAATACTAAATTGGGACGGCACTCGACCATTGTTTTTAAGAGTGACCTTCAGCACTCGCTAAAGTAACCCAAATACTAAATGACGGATTCTTTCAGCGTGTGTGCTTTGATATAAACCGCTTATATATATCTGAATTAAACTTTAATAATATTTAATATTAATATTTAATATTATAGATTTCTTTGTTTGAATGTTC